GGCTTTCTAATACTGTAGTCAAAATGACCTGGATGCCATAAAATATGACCTGTCATGTCAAAAGCCAAGAGAATCACAGCCTGAAGAGGAGATATGGATCAGACAGTGTCAATGCCAAGACCCATCGGGGTCAGGTTTCCTGGGCAGAACACTGAACTGGCCATGAATAAAAATGCTTTAGAGACTGGAGGCACAGTTCAGTGGTAAAGTATGAGTCTAGTGCATCTCGGGCCCTGAGTTTGATCCCAAGAACTAAAAAGTTAATAAACCAATAAGAAAGTTTCTGTGAATAATTGAAAGTTCCCTGGAAACGTGGAAAACTAGAAACTGCAGTAAAGAAAAGGAGTATCAATTAAGAAGGAGAAAGAATGAACATCATAAAAACTGAAAATTCAGTAATGAACACAGGAAACTTACTAGACAGGCTTGGCGTTCATGGCAGAAAAGAGGTTTGGGGACTAGAACCCACACCTGACCAAGAGGCTCAAGGCACTGCGAAGGGCAGATCTTCAGAACCAGTAAGGCAATGACAAAAGACACAGCATTAGGATCACCAGAGTCCCAGAAAAAACAACATGCATATATATATTCAAGGAATAGTGTCAGGAAACTTACTGATTCGGTAAAAAGACAAACTGACAGATTCAAGACACAAAACACATCCCAACAGAACAATCCCAAAAAATCCACCCCGAGACCCAGTGAAGTGCAACTCGGGAAACAAAGGCAGAGCCCTCTCAAGGTCAGAGCAAGGACAGCACCTCCTCCTGTGGATGGACATGATGAGAATGACGCCTGTTTCCTATGTCATCACTAAGGGGAGGAAGCCTCCTCCTCAAGGCTCAGGGAGCATCTCAGAAGAGCATGCGGAGGTTGGGATCTAGGTAAACCGTCTCGGGGGACATGACAGAGAGAGAGCAGACTGCTGCACCCAAGGCTCACAGCAGCTGTGGTGCCTGCACTGCCGTTAGGCCAGCCAACATTCCAGCACAGAGTGAGGAAGGACTCATCAGTCCTTCCCCACCCCTGGCTGAGGAAATGTGGGTAGCTCGTGACTTCTAGGGGAGGGAGGGTTAGTTATCTCATGGTGTGGTCTCTTGTTGGTCAATCACACTGCAGTGGCTGGCCTCACTCCCAAGAGCAGATGGGCAGCACTAACTGGGCACACCAGGTTATGGGAAGATAAAAATAGAAAGAGAGGGTGTGAAGTTGCAGAGAGGGCTTTGGGGAGGAGTTAGAGGAGGAAGTGAGAGGTAAGTATGGTCAGAATACATGATATGAATTATGAAATTCCCAGATAATAAATAAACACACACACACACGCTCACTCTCACACACTCACACTCACACACACACACACGCTCACTCTCACACACTCACACTCACACACACACACTCACACACACGCTCACTCTCACACACACACACACACACACGCTCAGTCACACACACACACTCACACACTCACACTCACACACACACACACGCTCACTCTCACACACACGCTCACTCTCACACACACACACAGACACGCTCACTCTCACACACTCACACACACACACTCACACACACACTCACACTCACACTCACACACACGCTCACACTCACACTCACACTACACACACTCACACACACTCACACACTCACACTCACACACTCACACACACACACACACATGCTCAGTCACACACACTCACACACGCTCAGTCACACACACTCACACACACACACACACACACACACGCTCAGTCACACACACACAGTCACACATACACACACGCTCACACACACACTCACACACACACACACTCTCTCACACACACTCACACACACACGCACGCTCACTCTCACACACTCACACACACACACGCTCACTCTCACACACACACACACACACACGCTCACTCACACACACACAGTCACACATACACACACGCTCACACACACACTCACACACACACACACTCTCTCACACACACTCACACACACACGCACGCTCACTCTCACACACTCACACACACACACGCTCACTCTCACACACACACACACACACACGCTCACTCACACACACACAGTCACACATACACACACGCTCACACACACACTCACACACACACACACTCTCTCACACACACTCACACACACACGCACGCTCACTCTCACACACTCACACACACACACACGCTCTCTCTCACACACTCACACACACACACTCACACACACACACACACACTCTCACACACACACACACACACACACACACACTCACACACACACACTCACACACACACACACACACAAATCAAAACAGCCTCCCTATCCTCAAAAATAGAGTGAAGTAAACTTGTTGCACACATGTAGTCCCAACACTCAGGAGGCAAGATGACAAATTCCCAGACAGCCAGGCTTTGTCTCAAAAGACATTTAATTAATGATTAAAGATAAGAAGAAAAACGAAATAATTTGTCTCAGAACTACCATTAAAGACAGCTGAATGAAAAAAATAAAAAAAACAAAAAACAAAAACAAACAAACAAAAACAAAAACAAACAAACAAACAAACAAAAAAGCTAAACGAGGATCCTTAAACACCGGGGCAGTGAGAGACAGTCCTGGGCAGAAGCTGATGCTGGCAGATTTGAACTCCATGGCTCCCACGAAGACCTGCACTTCCTGAGCCTGCATCCTCCTCCTGCATGCTGTCGCCAGCACACTGGGTCAAACAGCTCCATTTCACAGAATTGCTCCCCTTTCGGCCTTTGATGTTGCAGCCTTGAATCCAGCATCCTCAGGGCGTTTACGTTTTCTATGGGGACTTGCACACAGGCAGAGCTGGAAGCTAGACGAAGCACAGACCCAACTGCGCTGGTTTTACAGTCATTTCAGGATGTGAACCCAACCGTGATGTTCCTACGGGCATGGCTGTGAAATCCCTGAGGCTGCAGTGGATTTCTCAAGTGGTGAAGGGAAGTATAGGGCTAGACCTCGAAACAGCTGAGAAGCTAATGAATCTGGCCTTGTGAGGAGTACGTGGAGGATCCGTACAGAGCCAGTGTGCCGGCTCTACCAGCAGAGAAGCAGGCAGCCCTGAAGGGAGCCCTGGATTCCAGGGGCGCTCAACCAGAAAGGTAGACTGGGGAAGCAAGGATAAAGGGTAAAGGGGGGCTCCTCACTCGCCTAAGATGTGTAATTCTGAGCACAGGACCACACATCTGTTTAGCACAGAGCCTGCTGCGCTGCGGGACCAGCCACTTGCCATACACCTGCTCCTCCATCTTGAAACATCATTGTCACACCCACTCTGTTTGTAACTGCACATGGAGGAAATAATTCCAGAGGTGGAACTCTAAATAAGGACAGTTGAGCCAGGCAGTGGTGGAGTATGCCTTTAATTCTAGCACTTGGGAACCAGAGGCAGGATCCCTGAGTTCGAGGCCAGGCTAGTCCATAGAACAAATTCTAGAACAGCCAGAGCTACACAGAGAAACCCTGTCTCAAAACAAAACAAAACAAAAAAAAGAGCGATTTAGGAAAAATCTAAAACATTCCAAACCACTTAGGCTGTCCTGGAAAAGTGGAAAAGGCAATTGTAGAAGTGTTGATGCCAATATTGGAGTGAGACCATATTTCAAAATATCATCTGCATGTGATTGTGAGCTGCATATTAACTGAGGAATTATTATAATTCTACCATAATTTACTACTTTACCAAAATAAACTAGTAAGATAAATAAATACTGCTGTCTATGCCCGGTTGACTAATATGACCTGAACAGAAGTAAAATATTAGAGGAGGAGATGTCAAGATTAAGCTAGATTAGTGACAGAATCTCGGGGTCCTGTTTTGATATAATTAAATATATGATTTAATGTGGTTTTAGCTCCGAATCATCATAAAAGGTTTTGTAAAATAATAACATAGAAATGAAGACACCCTCACCCAGGCTGCAGAGGGATAAAAGGTTGTCATATTTCTGCGCTCTCCTGGCAGGGCAATCCACTCCCATCAATCTCGCATACTGCCGAGAGACACGGGGATGTTTTCCTTCCAGTCACTCATGGTCATTATTTAATGGAGGGTAGCAGCCACCGTCTTCATTAATATATTAACCTATGGCTCAAAGAGGCCTTGCAGTAAACCAACTGACAACTCCTCATGACAGGTTTATGTCACAGGGCTTGGGGACATTAACCATCAGAAACAATGGCCTCTGGGAGAAGTCCAGTGTTCTCACTCCAAGGAAGACAGCTAAGCCAGTGGAGAGAGAGGTATCCCAGCATCCCAGCTCACCATAATGACTTCAGGTTTAATACAGAAGAGCTAGTTAAAAGCACTCCTGATGTGGAGCTGGAGAGAGAGATAGCTCAGCAGCATAGAGCACTGACTGTCCCTGTCGGAGATCTCGGTTGGATTCCCAGCACCCACATAGTGGCTCACAACAGGCTGCAACGCCCTCTTCTGGCCTCCGCTGGCCCAGCTATGCATGTGGGAGGTGGTAGTCAAAGGACCAGGAGTTGAAGGCCAGTTTGGTTGCATATCAAGTTCAAGACCAGTCTTGGCTATGTGAAAAAAATAAAATTTTTTCTCAGAAAAAAATAGAACTGTGTAGTAGATTCTTTGCAGCTTCAAACATTATAGATCTGTAGAGCCAAAGACCACGGGGCAGTGGATATTCTATGTGGGAAAAGGAGAATGCATGATAAACAAGTTTGTCTAGCAATCAGGAATGAGGGGCTCCTCAAGTGGACTCCTGGCCTGCTCACCCCAAAGCACGGCACGCTAGAGCTTCCTAAGCACTTCTTTAAAAAAAAATAAATAATAAGATTATCCCTGGGCGGTGGTGGCGCATGCCTTTAGTCCCAGCACTTGGGAGGCAGAGGCAGACGGATCTCTGTGAGTTCAAGACCAGCCTGGTCTACAAGAGCTAGCTCCAGGACAGCCTCCAAAAGCCACAGAGAAACCCTGTTTCAAAAAAAATAAAAATAAAAATAAAAATAAAATTATAAAACATTTATGTGTGTATGTACATTCATAAGCCGTCCATTGTGGAGGTCAGAGGACTACATTGTTTTTTCTGCTTCCTCCATTTGGGACCTGGGGCTTAAACTTGGTGGTCAGGGTTGATGTAGATACCACTATCCACTGAGCCTTCTCACCAGTCCTAATGCAGTTCTTTGTTTTATTTTATTTTATTTTATTTTGGTTTTTCGAGACAGGGTTTCTCTGTGTAGCTTTGGAGCCTATCCTGGCACTCGCTCTGGAGACCAGGATGGCCTCGAACACATAGAGATCTGCCTGCCTCTGCCTCCCGAGTGCTGGGATTAAAGATATGCGCCACCAATGCCAGGCCCTAATGCAGTTCTTAATGTCCCCAGCTTTGTTGTATTAAAGTCACAGACACAGACATATGTGTTCCCAGAGTGCAGTGTGTCTGTGGATTCTGCTTCCTTTTCTTTTCTTCTCGTTTTCTTTCTTTCTTTCTTTTGAAAGGGAGGTGGTTAGAGGAACAAGTTTTTTTTATTTCAAAAAGGCATTAGTCAATATTCAAAAATCAAAGCAGTTGCAATATGAGGGATTTTTTTTTTCCCCAATTGCCTCCAAAATTGAGTTTTGGTCGTTTGTTTTGAGATAGTGTCCCATGTAGCCCAGGCTGACCACAAATTCTCTATGTAGCCAACAATGACATTGAACTCCTGACCTTGCATGTATCTCCCAAGTGCTGGGATTATGGGTATTCATCACCCTGCCCGATTTATGCTAGAGGCGAACCCTGGGCTTCACACCAGCTGGGCAAGTACCCTCCCGATGGAGCTGCACAGACCAGCCCAGACCCTGCTTCTTCATTTCCAAATAACTCACAGCACCAGGCCTCTCACAACACTGGCCCAGAAAGAAACCAACCATGGAAGCCACTGGGTACAATCCTCTGCAACAAAGCAGACGCTAGACATAAAGCAGTTCCCGCCATTGTGGATGACCAAGAAGCCTGGCCACCAGCTGACACACATGAGACCTACACTCATTTTCGTTTGTTTGTTCATTTGTTTGTTTGGGGAGACAGGGTTTCTCTGTGTTGTGCTGCCATCCTGGAACTTGCTCTGTAGACCAGGCTGGTTGGACTCAGAGATCCACCTGCCTCTGCCTCCCGAGTGCTGGGATTAACGATGTGTGCCACCACTGTCTGTGAGCCCTACACTCTTGGCAGGGCACTCTGCAGCCCTCTCTGCGGGTCTCACTCACGGTGGTGCTCTCCAGATCCAGCCCAGGTTGATGTCGCCCAGGCTATGGCTGTATACAGATGGAAATGATTGAGCTCCGGCTTCTCACACAACATTGTGCCAAAGTCACATACATTGCAATCAGGCTTTGTGCTTGTTCTTGAGGATGGCTGTGAGGTAGAAATCATGAAGAATACCTTCTTAGTAACTGGAGCTCCAATCAGATTGGGCTGTGCACACCCCTCTTCTAATAATCCACTTGGAGGCCTAGCTCTTGTAACCCAATGTGCTGGTCAAGTGTACCTCTCTCCCACTTACGCACCTAGGAATCGTTAGCAACCTCAGACTCCCAACAGCATGGGCTACATACACACACCACCCTGGACAATAAGTAAGTTTCTCCTCTCTGACAACCATCAAACTTGGACACTTTCTATTCAAATGTGTTCTCAACATATACAGGCCAATCTGGTCTGAGCTGGTTTTAGGTACGTGTCCTTGAGTGAACTTTTAAGGAGCATTCCCTATTTATGACCTTATTTCTGTGCATAACTGAGTGTGCTTATGATTAAAATCAAATGCATTATGGAAAGGGATACAAGCAGTAGAAATATGAGTATTAACTAATCTATCAATCAGAACAGAACCACCCTCACTACACTCCTAGTAACCAAAAGCCCTCCTTCTCTTCCAGGAAGAGGAAGGAGGCCTCAAACCGCACCAGCATCCTCGAGTACCTTCGCTGTCATGCTCCCCCGCTGCTCTCTTGCAGTATAATCTGCCCTTCCTACCACTTGCCTTTGGAAAGGTTTCTTGGCTACTTTTGCAAATCTGTGTAAGCCTTCATTCAGTTCTTTGGATAAGAGACAAAGACCCCAGCCATCATAAGAGCAGAGCTAAGCACTCCCACCCATATGTTCTCCTGGGTTCTTAAAACTTTTTTGAGCTTTCTTAGTGTTATGAGCCCCTCCTCTCTCCAGGAAGAAATGTTTCAATGCATAGCAGTTATACAACGGTGTACATGATTAGAGTTGCCAGGTTTCTGTTTCTGTAATATTACTATAGAATGTTCCTCCCTGCTTCTGATAGTGTTTCTATAATATCACTATATAATATTCCTCTGATTCTGATAATGTTTCAATAATATTACTATGTAATGTTCCTCTCTGACTTCTTTGCTCTGAAACCTACTTTTTTTGGAAATTAACCATGCATGTTTTCCTTTAATGTTACATCAGACATAGCTTTGCAAACTTTTTCTTTCAAGCTACCCATGTCTGATAGCTGCCCTGAATTCCTCCAAGCACGTGTGGCTGGTTCATGTTCTTTGAATCTCCTATGTTAATGTCTGTCCTTGACAGTATTTAGTGTAACTATCAGTACAAGTGTTCCCATGCCTGCCATTAAATTTTTTGTTTTGTTTGCTATGTTTGCATCTGTTTTTTCCTTGCCTTCCTGGGGCTACCTGAAGGTGTTTTAGAATTCCTCTATTGGGGCTGTACAAATATCTCAAAGGGTAAACATGCCTGTGGCCAAGTCTGGTGACTTCTTTTTTCCTTAAAAATATGGAATGCTACATGAATTTGCATGTTATCTTTGCCCAGGGCCATGCTAATCTTCTCTGTGTCATTCCAGTTTTAGTATATGTGGGGCTAAAGGAGCGCTTGTGTCTGTTTCTTACAGTAGCTTTGCTCGTGGTTGTTTGCTCTCTTCCTGTCTCCTTTGGAGCTCCAGGGATGCAATCATCAGATCTCATGTTCCCTGAAGCTGTCTTTCCCAGCCCCTGTCCACTTTCTCTGTCAGTCCTTCTCTGTCATCTCCACCACTCTTTTCCAGTTCGTTTCTTCTCCCTCTATCCCCTTCACCCTGAAGATGAGCTCACCCACTGAGCTTTTTGTTTTCATTATCTCATGTTTTCAGCTCTGAAACTCCCACTTGGTTCATCTTTGTATTTTAAATTTATTTTCTGTGATTTTTATTTCACTAGTTGAGGCATTTTTATCATAGCTGTATCAAAATTTTTGTTGGCCATTTTAACATCTCTGCCAGAAAGGTGTGCTGTCCAGGCTTTCTACATGGTCTCCTCTGGCACTATGCAGCACAGACACTGGGCAGCTCCGGGTGGCCTCACAGGGTGGATGTGCCCTCCTCTAGTCTTCACTGATACTGAGGAGTTGGTTTTCCTGTGGAGCTTGTCTTGAGTGGAGCAGTCTTCTTCAAAAAGCTCACTGCAGTGCTGGACATGATGGCGCACGCCTTTAATCCCAGCAGCACTCAAGAGGCAGAGGCAGGCAGATCTCTGTGAGTTCAAGGACAGCTCGGTTTATATAGTGAGTTCCAGGATAAGCCAGTGCTTCAAAGTGAGACCTTGTCTCAAAAATAAAATTTTTAATTAAAAACAAAAAGTTTTCTGCTTTGGAGGTGTCCCCTTTCCTGGATCTTTGGCTAGAGAAGGCAACTCTTTTTGTCTGTGCAGACTGGTATTTCTGGGTTTCTACCTTCTTTTGTTCCAACTCTGAAATACACAGGCAAAAAGAAAACCCAGGAAACTCAGCCCATGGTACCCTTGGGCTCCAGCATCTCTGCTGGATCTCTCTTCTTCACACTGCCATCCAGATTACCCTATGATTGTTTTATATTTCCTAGGCAGTGGTTTTAGTTGCCTTTAGCAGGAGAAATAAGGAAATAACCAATCTGTCTTTCTAGAAGAAGAAAGAATAATATTAAAGTCACAATAATGTCACCGCTGATTTTTAATTTTAGAGCCAACTTATAAAGTAGATAGTAGATTTCATCATGGCCCCACAAGGAATGCTCGTGTTGTTGCTGAAAACAAGATGGCCATGTTGTGATGACGGGAGAATTAAGAAGAGAGCAGAGTGAAGCCATGAAGAGAGACACAAATGCTCTACCTGACAAAGCAGAGGTCAAAGGCAACACTTCCAACTGTTGGAACCAAGAGTGAGGTGTAATGCATGCTGCTTAAGGTTACTGGAGTTACCAGGAGGAACCAACTGATTAGAGACCAGGGACTGCTCTCCACTGTAAAGACCAGCGCACAATGTTATTTAATAAAATTATGTACTTACACTCACAAGCATGCAGATATATATAGAAGAATAAAACCACCTCTGGGAACTAGGCAAATAGCTCAGAAGTACAGTGTTTGCCTAACAAGCACAATGATGTCTGCACTGAATGCCAGCACTGCAAAAAATAAATACACAAAACACATTTATCATTAAAATTACTTCCATTCTGAAGAATTTATACATAGGCACATTTTTTTTCTTTTTTTTTTTCTTGTCCCTTTCCTCTTCTATGAGGTCATCCTTGTTTCCTAGCTTCTCTGAAGGTGTGGATTGTAGGCTGGTACTTCTTTGCTCTAGGTCTAAAATCCATATATGAGTGAGTACATACCATTTTTTTTTTTACTTTAAAAACCATTTAATTCGGGGCTGGAGAGATGGCTCAGAGGTTAAGAGCACTGACTGCTCTTCCAGAGGTCCTGAGTTCAATTCCCAGCAACCACATGGTGGCTCACAACCATCCGTTATGAGATCTGGTGCCCTCTTCTGGTGTGCAGATATACATGGAAGCAGAATACATACATAATAAATATACATAATTTTTTCTTGGTAGGTGCCACTTATAAAAGTACAATTGACATCAGATAAACAATTTGAATAGAGACTGATAACAACTAGTGAAACAAAAAAATCTTTATAATCCTCCCAACCAAAAAAAGCTGAGGAAAACATTGTTTTACCACTGTTTTACAAGACTTTCAAAGAAGACTTGAAAATGATAATCCTCAAATTATTCCATGATATAAAAACAGAAGGAACTTCACCCAATTCATTTTATGATACCTCAGTTACAGAGATACCCATATATTCAGGATATCTTGTTTTTAAATGATCAGAGAGTACATACCATTTTTGTCTTTTTGTGACTGGGTTACCTCACTCAGGATGGTTTCTTCTATTTCCATCCATTTGCCTGCAAATTTCAAGATTCCATTTTTTTTCTGCTGATTAGTACTCCATTGTGTAAATGTACCACATTTTCTTTATCCATTCTTCAGTTGAGGGGCATCTAGGTTGCTTCCAGGTTCTGGCTATTACAAATAGTGCTACTGAGAACATGGTTGAATATATGTCCTTGTTATATGAACATGCATCTTTTGGGTATATGCCTAGGAGTGGAATTGCTGGATCTTGTGGTAGACTGATTCCTATTTTCCTGAGGAACCTCCATACTGATTTCCAAAGTGGCTCTACAAGTTGGCACTCGCACCAGCAGTGGAGAAGTGTTCCTCTTTCTCCACATCCTCTCCAGTATAAACTGTCATTGGTGTTTTTTATTTTAGTCATTCTGACAGGAGTAAGATGGTATCTCAGAGTTGCTTTGATTTGCATTTCCCTGATGACTAAGGATGTTGAGCACTTTCTTTAGTGTCTTTCAGCCATTTTAGATTCCTCTATTGAGAATTCTCTGTTTAGTTCTGTACCCCACTTTTTTTTTTGTCTATGGAGGCTTTTTATTTATGTTTTACATCTCTAGAAAAAGAATCCCAGGATTTTCCCTCCTGTGTGTTTTTGTCTTGCTTCTTCATGGTCCATGATGGCAGCCGAGGTTGTCAGTACAATGAAGCCAAACTGACTGGACCGGAGCAGATTGTTCTGCCACTTTTCTAGGTCTTTGAGCTGCACATTAAATCTAGGGCTGATCACTCCACACTTGTTCACCCTGCCTGTGAGGTTCACCACAATTTTCCCAGCTCTGTGGTCATCAATGATTTCAAATTCACCAATGTAACCATGCTTCATCATCACAGTTAGGAACCCACTGATGACTTTGGAGCAGGGCCTGATGAGGACCTGGCATTTGCCTCTCTTCTCAGCATTGTTGATGCTCTTCAGAGCATCGGCCAGGACATTCATGTGCACCATGGTGACGGTGCGGAAAGATGGCGGAAAGAGTGTGCCCCACTTTTTAATTGGATTAGTTGGTGTTTTGGTGACTAGCTTCTTGAGCTCTTCGTGTATTTTGAAAATCATCCCTCTGTCAGATGTGGGGTTCGTGAATATCTTTTCCCATTCTGTGGGATGCTGTTTTGTCTTGTTGACTGTGTCCTTTGCCTTACAAAAGCTTCTCAGTTTCAGGGGGTCCCATTTATTAACTGTCAATCTCAGTATCTGTGCTACTGGTGTAAAGTTCAGGAAGCTGTTTCCTGTACCAATTTGTTCGAGGGTACTTCCTAACTTCTCTTCTAATAGGTTCAGTGTAGCTGGATTTATGTTGAGGTCTTTGATCCATTTGGATTTAAGTTTTGTGCAGGGTGACAGATATGGATCTATCTGCAGTCTTCTACACACCAGCATCTAGTTGTTGAAGATGCTTTCTTTCTTCCATTGTATAATTTTAGCTTCTTTGTCAAAAATCAGGTGTTTGTAGGTGTGTGGGTTAATATCAGGGTTGTCAACTCTATTCCATTGGTCTACCTGTCTATTTTTGTGCCAATACCAAGCTGTTTTCAGGACTATAGCTCTGTAGTAGAGCTTGAAGTCAGGGATGGTGATGCCTCTGGAAGTTCCTTTATTGTACAGGGTTGTTTTGACATAGGCACATTTTTTAAGACAGAGTCTTACTTTGTAGCTCTGCCTGGCTTGAAACTCTCTAAGTAGGCCACATTAGCCTCAAGCTCAAGAGATTCAGCCCGCAGAGTGCTGGGACTAAAGGCGTGTGCCACCATATCAAGCCCATAGACATACATGCTAACCTTTGATCATAGTTGCTATTTTTTAAATTTTTATCATTTTACCAATTCTATCTGTACCTTTGAAAAGTTTTTAAGTTCCATTTAGTCAAAATGGCATTTTAAAAATTATTTGCTTATTTTTATTTTGTGTATGAGTGACTGTGAAGTCAGAAGAGGGCATCAGATTGACTGAAACTGAGGTTCCAAATGACTTCAAGCCACCATGTGGGTGCTGGGATCCCCACCTGGGACCCTCTGCAAGAGCAGCACGTGCTCCAACCACTGAGCCCTCTCTCCAGCCTCAACACTTTTTACAACAGTTATATGAAATGTTAGGGTCTTCAAAACAAAGTTTCACTATGTTACCCAGGTCAGCCTTGAACTCGTGGTAATGCTCCTGCATCTGTCCCCCAAATTCTAGCATTACAGGTGTGTGTCACTAGGATAACAGCTGTGTTAGTTTTAACACATGCACCTGTATAATTACCACCACTCTCCTGACAATACAGTCCAACATGGATCTACACTGTGTACTGTGGTATTAGCAATCTAGCAGCAACTTAAAGCGTATGGCAGACTATGTGCAGGTAAATGCAAACCCTGCATCACAGCAGCCGAGGGCCCTGAGCTCTGTACATGTTGGAATTCCTGCGTGTCCTGACGTCTGCTCGCTGCAGAGACAGGGGGATAGCTGTGTGTCCCTTCAAATGCCACAGTCAGCCTGATAAGAACAGCTTTCTAACATGAGCAGAACTGATGCTTGGCTGCTGTTCCTGATGCTAGTTGGCCAAAGGCTTCATGGCTTCCTAGGCTCCTGGGACAATTCTGTGTCCTCAGCTGAGGGAGCCTCTTGCTTGTCTCATTTTGGAGGTCGTATGACCAGATTGGATAAGATGCGGAAACTTTTAAGTGCCTGGGATGTGTAAAAAGAGTCTTGTGAAAGCATTTCAACACAGAATTTGATGTCAGAAGGCCATCATGACTCACTCTGCCTTTCTTGGTGACATTATGAAAAAGGCAAAAAGTACAGTAGGCCTTGAATCTGTGTATAAATTATAAAAGTCCACCCATAGATAGTTTCTGTCTGGGGCTTTGTATGCCAGACATAGGTTAAATGGGCTGGAAATTTCTGGTAGGATAACCAACTGCTCTGTGAAGCTCCAGTGTTGCAGATCTATAACTCCACTATTAAATATACAATCTAATGGAATGAGTTGTTTGGGGGACTACTCATTGAAGAATGGTGGAGTCCTCGACTGGGCAACACAGTAGAACTGGCCCTAGGGGACAGGTGTGGTGGAACTGGCCCCACCCTTTGCTCATCCCTGCAAGGGGTAAACTAGCCAGGGCAATGCTGGAGAACTCACCCTTGTGGTGATATATTATTTATGGCTTATTAAAGTTTGCCTGAGGGTTCGGAAAGCAAAGCCAGCCACAAGCCATAAACATCAAGCAATGGTGATACACACCTTTAATCCCAGCAGCCATACTAGCTAGCCATAGAGCTAGGTGTGGTGGCACACACCTTTAATCCCAGGACTCAGAAGACAGGCAGATAGATCTCTGTTAGTTCAAGGCCACATTAAGCTACATGAAATTGATTCAGTCCTAAAGAGAAACAGCTCACACACAAAGGTGATCTCAGCACTTGGGATCACACGCCTTTTATCCCAGCACTAGAGGGGTATAAAAGGAAAAACCTAAGGGTCTCATGTGGAGATTTATTCTCCAAACTCACTGAGGAGAGGCAGCAGTCTAGGGTTGCAGTTGGCCATCTGATTTGCTTTTTCTGATCTTCAACTTGAAGCTTGAACCCCAATATCTATCTCTGGGTTTCTATTATTTGTGTTACACACCCACTCCCTAGTGGTGAAGCCGGCAGGCTGAACAACCCTGCAGCTACCCAGGCCCACAACCAGGGTTAAGTGTTGGCCCACTCCACCATCTGCCACATCTGTGATCTGTTAGAGCATGGAGGGGGGGTGGAGTCCTGTGGACCCAGGACTACAGGATCTCCATGACACTGGGCAGAATCCCAGTGAGGGCCCAGTGTTGATAGTATCGCAGAGACCAGGGGCCTTGAACCAAACCAATGATTCTTGGCAATGAACACCTGCCTGCACGTAACGATGCCTGTAAGATAAAGGACTTTACTGCGTGACTCACAGTGCAACTTCCATGAGGAGACTTTCCCTTTCTTCCCTCCCCCCCTTTTCATCTTAAATCTTACTTGTTTTAATTTGGGGGAGGAGGTTGCAGAGGCAGAGGGCAGGTGCAAGGGGATGGGAGATGAGTGGGATTGGGATTCATGATGTGAAAGACACCAACTAAAGGCCACCAGTAGGTGGCCCCCTAGGACCAAAAGTGCTGAAGACTTTTCCTCCAGGACTGTAAGGGTTAAAATCTGAGCCCATAGTTTGTGTCCTAATTAGCTTTCTATTGCTATGTTAAACACTAACCAAAAGTAATTTGGGGATGAAAGGTTTTGTTTTTAGTTTATCGTCCATCATGAAGGGAATTCAGGACAAGCACTCAAGGCAAGAGCTAAAGCAGAAGCCATGGAGGAACACTGATTACTGGCTTGCTCCTCATGCTTCCTGCTTG